CCTGATGGTAAGCAACACACCTGTCCATATAACAGTAGCAGTACCACTCAGAGCTTTAAATCACAAAGATCTGAGAGGCATTGCCACTGAGAAATATGTTGACAAGTCCCATGTGCCTGTAATTTGACCTACTGCTCACACTACTGCGTTCACTCATAGATAAATATTTTCATTCAGTTCTAGTAATCCACATAATACATTACTATTTAATGGTACAAAACAATTATTTTAAAGACGAGAGAGAGATTGTGTTTTAGAACAATAATTGTTTATTGTACGAAAAATGTAATTAAAAATTACATGTCACAAAGGACATATACATAGGTGGGCTTATTTCTAGAAGAGATCTGAAAGTCTAAGTCAAATAGTCTTCATTTCATAGATAAGCTAATTACACTTGAAGTCGTCATACTGATTATACTCTAGTGCTCATTCGTAAGGCAGATTCCCCTGAGGAGAATGACCAAGAAACTCTAGAGGTTGCTCTTTGTAATATACATTTATCATTTACGATATTTCATTTAAACATCTCAGATCGAGACTACCTGCAAGAGCTATACCGGTCACTATCATGGACTTTTGTTATCTAAGTATGAGAAACTGTTGTTGTTGCTGTCTCTTCAAACCCTAGCCGTGGTGAATAAAGTAAGTCTGCGGGACATTATTGTACATTTATTAAAATTTAAATGTAAATAGAAATATCAATGATGACAATACAAATATGACCGATATATATCCATGTATCTACATTGAAAATTCAGTAACAAGCAAACAACCCTCATCGCACTACTCAAGTGAGAGTGTAGAGTTATAAAAACATCTTGATGGAACGGAAAATTTGTAAAGGCATAGCTTTAACTTAGATAAGGTTTTACAGGAAATAATGTTTTAATCCACCCATTAAACGACGGGCGGCAACTCTGTCGCTTGGCTAGTAAAAATAATGTCAATACAGAGTACTAAAAGAACCGTCACCTTAAAAGTCACTCATCCCCTAATACGCCACCCTTAGAGATGGAATATTTTCTTTATGTTTAAATGGGACCACATCTGAGGTACCCTCTTTCCAACAAAAAAATAATCATCAAAATCGGTCTCGGAGTTATCGCGTAACATACATAAAAATACATACAGTCGAATTGTTTATTTCCTCCTTTTTTTAAGTCGGTTAAAAAAAAGAAAAATGCCTCAGGATAATTCCATACCTACGCTATAGAGTCGGTTGTAAGCCTTTTTTCGTAAAACAAGACATGCTTATGTAGGGTTTTTTGTAAAACTCTAACAACATCGCATGACATAATTACTAACACCGTAAACGATAATTTTTGTTCCATGTCATAATAATTCAGATTTTCCTTTCGAATAAAAATATTTAAACAGATCGATTTAAACGGTGATCTCTCTATGCGGTAGCGACAAAACCTTAAAAGTTTATATTTGGACAAAAGTTATCTTAAATTTTTATTGAATTTATATATTCAATTATTTTTATGTGAAATTACTCCACTAGTCTGTTATAATTATTGGCCAGGGCTGGTAGCTGTAAAGGTATCTAACTGGGTGACGAAATGTCATATATGTCTTATAGATCGTCGAAAGTCTTTGAAAATCCAAATACAAAGATACGACGCAAGCACATAGAAAAATTAGTGAGGTCCGCTGGTTCGTTCCGTGGCTTAGCTGGTATAGCGTTTGGCACGGTATGTTAGAAGACGTCGGTTCGAATCCGGCCGGATCGAAGGAATTTTTTCTGAGTGTTAGATCTTTGTATTAATAATTAAAAGTTATTTTGTGTGATGTTTTTTTATTTATTTTTCCCAGGGGAGGAGAAAATCCTCATGGATACTATAGGGTTAACGAAACTCATGGTGATGTCGGACTCCACCGGGAATGTGCCCAGTAACCTACGGACTAAAACTTCCTCCCCTTCCCAGTTTCTCCTGTTACTATTAATTGTGTAACATCATTAATGCCGTAAATGTAATGTATGCTACACATTACTAATTTGGTTGTATGATGTTGGAAATATAGTGTTGCGAGGTTTTCAGTATTTTACAAAACAACCCTGAATACAATGTTTTTCATTAGCCCGTATTACACAGCTCAACATTAATATATAATAAGATCCCAAGCTGTATAACAATTCAGAAAGATGAAAAATTCTTCTTTAATAAATTACGGTCCCTGTTCATACAAAAATGCTATTACACAATAAAGGAATTTTGGAAATGATACAGTAATATAATTGTGATATTTCATGAAATATTTTGTCATTTTAAAATAAAATAATTAAATATTTTTTTAATGTACATTTTTATTCTTGTTTATTATTTTGATTAGACATTATATTAATTATTTTACATGTGTTTTTTAAGATACTAGGTGACAGCACAAACAACTCACGCGCTTGATGGTGCCACTCATAGCTTTATAATTGCGCCCGCCACACTGAGCCGTATATTGACAAATCCCATGTGCCCGTAATTTCAGCAGCACCCGTATCCTTCAAAACCGGAACGCAGGAATGCTAACATTACTGCTTGGCGGCAAAAATAGGAAAAGTGACAGTACTCCCCTAGATGAACTTTTTTCACAAAATGTTTTTCTACATGTTTTTATTCAAAAAGCTCCCGTCACTTCCAAGGACAAGCAAAACAATAAATGATTCAGTCTCACAAGCACGTTCAGATTAAAATGTTCACCAACGACTATGTCACAGGCAAACCCGGGATGCGGGTTGTATCTAATTTGTGTTGTGTTGTTAGAGATGAAACTATTTTTTTCGAATCTAAAATCGCGTACATTTCTTTCTTCCAACAAACCAACAACGCTTCGGACACTTTACGGGTTCCGTGTCAACAGTGAATGTGGAATTTAAAAATAGTCGAGATAACACTTTTGTCTCCAATGTTATCTGTTCCTGCATATTTAATATCTTTTAATATTATGTGATAAATGACTGCTTTCGTGGCAGAAAGGTTACCATGCTAGTCTACTACACAGAGGTTTCGGGTTCGATTTCCGGGTCGGGAGAAATATTTTTATGGCCTATGATTATTTCTATCAATTCTACCATGGCACTCGCGATACTGGACTCCCTTCGTATAACGGAGCTATATGTGCGTTATTATTATTATTACTTTGGATATCTATTTTAAACTCTCGGCTGTCTTAATATTGAATTTTTAAATGGGAGAGGCCGTATTCCCCAGCAATGGTACAGGCATTATCATTATTATTATTAATTTGTAGAATGGGTGGAAGTGGGCGAAGGTTGTACGAGAATGAAAGGCGTTGGCGGGACAGTCTTGATGGGTTTGGGGAAGGAGTGGTGGAAACTCGCATTTTGGAGGGAGACATTCGTTCAGAATTGGGACACAGTTGGTTAATTTTTAAAAAGTGTCTTTTCTACTTAGTGGTTAATTTATGATGAGTTCCTTATAATTACCGTAGAATGTCACTTAGAGTTATGTAGTCTAAAGTCTTTTGACATGACTATTTGTTTTTTAGTTTCTCCTGTCTTGTTTTAACTGATATTGCACGTAAAATTTATTAATTTTTTTGTAAAAATAGGAAATTACCTGGAAATTTTGATTGAAAATCGTTTCTTCAAAATTACAGTTGGCCAAGCGGCACAAGTCATATGTAAAAAAAATGTTTTACTGACTTAACTTTAGAGGCCTAAGCACACATACTTTACACCCTTACGGTTATAATTTGTGTTCATTAAAATAATTAAAAAGCATCACCTTAATCTAAAAGCAAATAATCCCTAAATCCTCCCTTAAACACAAGGCCGCGTTTTCATAAGCTTTATTCGTGAATTCATTAACAATAAAGTGTAAGAGTGTAATAATTATGCATATGGGTACTGGTTCTTATAGTTTGTAAATACATAACACTCAACTTGTTAGAATTTCAAATGTCTCTTCTTGTGGGACACCTTACGGCAACGCTATTCCAGAGATCACTACAAGGGAAAAACATTGGGACGAAAACGAAAAAATAATACTTAAAATCGCAAGACTCCATTGGCTTGGACACCTCTAAAGGATGCCAGTTCAGCTAGGGCGTACATGAGCTAGGGCCTACATGAGACTAGTGCTTGAACCTGGTTGACGTCCGGTTGGTTGGTCAAAATACCGATGGAGGGATGAAGTGGAGAAAGATCACGATGCCCTGCATTCATAGAATTGGGAGGAGATCGCACAAGACAGGGAGCGCTGGCGTCTCGTTTCGTATCGGAGGCCAAGACCCACTTTGAATTGCTGAGCCAGCGGAGTAAGTAAATATACTTAAAAGTATCAAGATCAAAGTAGCCTGAGAAATTTTGTTAATGATCAGAATTGTCTTCTAAAGTTGGTGATCTGTGATAACTAAAACTTATTGGAAATGAAATTACTTTGTTTTTCGGACGGATATCGATCCTCTACAGCTACCGTCGTCGTCGCGACTGAAAAATAAATATACGCGATTTATACCCGAAAAAAAGGATATAATTTCAATGCATAGAAAACTTCAGAACTCGAAAACTAAAACATACTAAGCTTGTTTAGTACTAGAGTGATCAGAGGCTACGCGACGAAGGTAGACCGCTACAGACATACTTCTTTCGCTTTCTACGCTAGCACAAAACTTTTAATATGCGCCCATTCATTCTTAACACTTACCATAACATATGGTATAAAAAGTAATTGATAATCATTTTAAGACTACGGTGATTTACGGACTCACTTTCTAACATAATATGATAAATAACTCTCCTACGTAAACACTCAATTATAAATAAAATGTAGACCATTTTAATTACATTTTTTTTAATTTTTGCAAGCAAGGGAATAGCTGAAGGTGAAATCTGACAATCAGCAATGCTGAGCCTTTATCCGTTTTGTCACATTAATATTTTTTTTAATTATTTGCTTATATTTGGTGTTTTGTGGATAAATAAATGACATTTTATTTATTCATTTAAAATTATGTAAAACAGAACAAAAACTTACCAATAACGTAAGAGTATCCATCAAGAGTGAGCACACACTTCTTGGCTGCGCCCGAAGCAGAACGATGTCTGTGCGTTCTAGGGTTAGACCCTAACGCCCTCCCTCCACCTGGATCACTATGGCATTTGTGCACCAGCTCCTTATCACTTTCCACATTGCTATTTCCGTCGACAGAGCCCTGTCGGCTGCTTTCCAGCAGCGCTTTGCCACGCCGCATCATCACATCATATGCTATCTCCAGTTAGAAATACACTTTTAATTTACACTAGTCACAAAATTCACTGCTGTCACTAAAAACTTTGTCACTGAAAAGTTTACACTCGTCACTGAAAATTCACTATAGTCACTTTCAGTTTCATGCTTTATTTGCTTTGTGTGTCATAAATCACTAATTTTAGATATCCTGACGCCACTTCTATCGGTTTATCACGACCACAACGGGTTTACAAGCTCCGGACCGAGGAAATTCCTCCCGAGATATGTTTACAAATTCAACATTGTATGTTTTGATATGTAACAGTGTGCTGTAAATATGTAGTTGATCTGATGGGTCATAAAAATTTGTTATTAGAGGTGTTAACGCTAAAAGTGTAACAAATGAACACCGTTTTATCTTTATTAGCGGTGTTCTGTTGTAATCCGTAAAGTTAAATTTTAAACAACAATAAATGCTGAAGTTTACATAGAGAAAGTAGAAATCTTATTACTTTAAATTGACGCTAAAGAATTTAATCTAATTTAATAGCATTAGTTGCGCGATTTCGAATATTAATGTAAACAGAATTATTTTAATTACACAATTTCTACTATGGTAATAATGTTATTTGAATTCAATTTCTATTTAGTTTTTGAATTGTTATTCAATCTTGCATTGAATTAAACCACTTTTTTTAATGCAGTTTACACGTTTTATAAATTATAAAGCATAAAAAAATATGTCGAAAAATTGACAACATTATTCAAAGTATAATTCAAACTATCAGTCTAACTATCTATATATAAAAAAACTATCACTTTCTTATTTGTTAGACATATTTCCATGTAAAGAACAAGATAGAAAGGGATCAACTTTTGTAAACAGAAATTTTGTTCACGTTCTAATTTTCACAATACCACGAAAAGCTTGTCTACTTCAACAGAGTCTGTAATTGTAATTTCTTTGAAACTTTACAATAAACTGAACATTGAAATTAGGAGTAATTGTGTAGAATCTTTTAAATCATCATTTAACACCTCATTGATGGTAATGAATTATTGTCCGTCAAAAATTACATTTTTATAAACGTATTTTTTTTCAAACTTATCTGTCAGAGACATTTTCCAAGTAACAATACCCTTTTTAACAGATATTAGAGTATCTGAATCATTGAGATAAATGTAAACATTTCAAACATTGTGTATAAATTTGTTAATTTAAACATTACAGACTGCTGTAATGCAATATTAGCTATGGTCAATTAAACATTTAAACGATCAGTTAATATTGCGTCTAGGACGTGATTTAACATGATAACTAACAATGAAGCACATTAGTATAATGGCATTTAATGACATTTTGTATCATTTTCTAGGAAATTTACGTAAACTTACGAATTTATACATATTCGATGTCCATTTTTTTTATTGAAATACGATTTTGTTTAGTAATATATAGAGATTTATAAAAATGCTTTTTTTGAAGTGTCTTTCATATCGTTGTCTTGTTTACTTAGACAGATAGTACTCATATATATGTTTATTGTAATGTAAAATATCGCCGCGTGTTTATGATGGAAATATTGAACAACATATACCGTCTGTAGATATAAATAAGTAATCAAAACATGAGTTGCTGTTAATGACGGATCGAACCATCACCTAAACAGCAAATTCTTTGTTCAAAAAGGCGCGTCAACGTTAATGGACACCGAATGGACCTTTGTTATATGATAATTATCACGGAATTTGGCAAATTTAATGAAACTCGGAATGGGCTCGCGTTGTTTCCAAACAATTTGTCAGAAAAAATTGGGGTTCGCGCAACTTCGACGCGAACAATTTCTCCGAAGCGCCGAGGAGTTTTTGGCCCGTAACTCATTAGACTATGCCATCGCATATGTTTAGGAAGTTAAACGCAGGTGGAAACGGTAAGCTATTTTCACGAATGTTGTTTTTCCGCCATAGTAACGTTCGCACATAAAGCGTTGCGTCATGGCTCACGGCCGAACCCCCCGCCATGGGGGGTGACACCCCCATTTGTAAACAAATTGTGACGCTGTCCACTGGACTTTGCCAAATCGCGACCAACAGGTGGTCCCGTTCTTCGTGTGAATACCACTATCTGTAACAACACGTTTTTTGACACCATGAGCAAATCGCGTCGTGATTATTTTGATTGACACTTTTCTAATTGAAAACTTCACAAATGACATTTTTGCATTGTGATGTTGAATATTGTTGTTTTTTTTTAATATTATGTAGATACCTATTCACAGTACACATAACACGGTCAGTGGGTGTTCGTCATGCAGGCCGGCGCAACCGTGCCGCGTGAAGGCCTGCGCGCGACTGTCGCCCGTGCCACATGCTCCGGCCGACAGCCACAGGTAGCTGCCACTCAAGTTCCAAATTCGAAATCCCGGGATATTGACCAATCCAGCTTAGGCAATTGATAAAAAGGGAAATATCTGTTTTCTAACCGTTCATAGGACAATTTGTTTTCACAACCGCTCATTGAACATAGCTGCCGTTCTAATTTCACAACTTCGGGATGCTCTAAAAGGTCTAGTGAAAAGTGAAATGTATTAATTACCTTATATACAATTTTGATGAAGTCAATTTGACAAAAAATTCATATTATAAATCAATCTAAACTAAAATTAATGTTTAAAAAAAACTGAAAATTTCAATGGAGAAAGAAGCCATTTATTTGTCGTCGTTATAATTTTGTCGGCAGAACGAAAGCTTTTTTTAGCTATATTTCATTTTAATTTCGCTGGGCGGTATGTCTGTACAAAAGTAAACATTTGTACAGTGTTCCACAAAGCTTCATATAATATGTCTACTAAAGGGGCGAAAGCACCGCTCATTTTCAAATTTAGTAGTACAATTAATTTAATTTCGTGCTATCTGATATAATTTCTTTCAAGAAATCATACATAGATTTCTATAGAATAGATATAATAAGTATCATACAAAGACACTGAGATGAAAATGTTCCATAGTCTATGTCGAAAATTAAGTTTCCAGTTCGTTCTTCTTAAGGGAATTTCTAAGTGGAAAATTATATGAGATGCCTCAGAGGAGTGAAACAAATGCACCGCGACTAATCGGCGTGTGATTGGATTTTTTAAGCGCCAAAATTGTGCTCAGATTGCTGTGAAACCTAGACAGATTGATGTATAAAATAAAACCCAAAATAATTATAAATAATTAAATCAAAAATATTACGAGAGCGGTTTGATTAGTTTGATTGAAAAGAAAAAAATATTTTTTTTATTATGGTTTATTTTTCTGCGTAATCTCCTTTTAACGCCACCTTGATCAGCTATAGCCCAAGAAGTTGGGCCCATCAAAAAATGTCATATTTTTCAAACTGAAAAATAAACTCTCACTCTGTTTCAACCATTACTTCCTCATTTGATGCAAATCGGTAAAAAATCAGATTGAAAAGTCAAATGGAGCCAAATATGCGGCAATAGTTCGTATCATAATTCGACAAGCTTTGATGTTCTGGTTGCTGATGAGAAACGGAATACTCGAAATTCCGTTTGCTCTATCTTCAAAAAATATATTTTCGCCATTGACCTACCAATAAATGGACATCGGGTTCGCGCTTAACCGCTCACGCGATGCGCTCCTTCTACCGCAAAAAGGCGGCTATTTAGTTTCGCAAATTAGAAAAGCATTCAGTTTAAATACATTTTTTCATAAATAAAAATTATTATTCTGCATTGCTAAATAAATACCCTCCGTACTACCAACAAAAACATCTCAAATAAAATGCAGTAATACACCGCAAATACTGCACTTATAAAGCACTAATGAAATTTTCGATGTACTTGGATAAATATGATAATATTCCGTTTGAGTGGTTCTAACGTTTGCCATGAAATTACTCCTTAAAGTATAGTTTATAAAGATTTATATTCAGGGTAAACTTAAAAAATGCTACTTACGGTATGTTTTCAATAAATAAACACCGAAATCACCAGCCTAACACACACGATTGTCGTGACGTATTTTTGAAGTTGTTTATTTTTTTAAATAACTCACACGATTGTCGTGACGTATTTTTGAAGTTGTTTATTTTTTTAAATGACAGAACCAGGCATTAAAAACTTTATGGTTTGGTAGAGTAGTTACCGAAATAGCAATTAATATTAGTTCTTTTACCTGCTATAACTTCGACATCCGATAAATCGATATAAAATCATCACCGGCACCTCTAGGTGTGGCATGCGTCTACGGCTGCATGTATCGCGTGAGCGGTTAAAAGTGTCCGCATCTATAGGGCGTTAAAATCACATACAGAGCGTCAATCGCGCAACAGTCTTCGTTTGTTCGACTGTCAGCGCGGTTGTTAATCATGCAGTACCATATAATAATAACTTGTAAAAATTACTGCAGTAAAGTGTAAAAACAGGGTTTTGTATCATATTTTCACTAAACAAATATATTGTGTTATCATAGTTCGCATTTAAAAATGTTATTTTGTACAGTTTTATAGTATTTAATTTATATATAAATGAGTCGTAAATATAAATTACAAAAGCACACAAAATAATCAAATAGCTAACTGTCCTTTTTCTACACATTGCATGCGTAAAAGATGGATAGAGACCCATTGTGTCAATTTCTTAAAAGCTTATGTATAAACTTCTTGGTTATTTTCAATTGTTCGAACCACAAGCGATTGAAATATTTAGAACGAAGGAAATATAGAGTCGCTTCGATTTTAATCTTATTTTTGAAATGACTTTTAATTAAACGTTAGCAATAACTAACAAAATATTGTTGTACTCGTTTTACGGCTTGAGATTACCTTTTAGAAGTCAGAAAATACATTTGCCCGAAATAACGTTAGCTCGACTTTTGATAATAGGTATCAAATGTATATTTTTAGAAAGATTACAAAATAGAAACTAATTTTGTCTTTGTGAAAAGCATTAAAATTACACGAAAGCGTAACGGTTTTCGGAATTACGGATATTTGAGTTTACGTTTAGTTGGAATATCTGTACATTTCTTATAGTACACGCTTATTTTTAATTTTGTAGTAA